ATAATTCCGTGGATTCAGGTGCAGAGCGAGAAAGTGTTTAATAAAGACAAAACATAAAAACAAACAAACCAAAAACTACATAAGGCAAGGCAAGGCACAAACACAACGTAACAAATACAACGAACGAGCACAGGACAGCAAACACAGGAAGACTAAATAGGGAGGCAAACAAGGAGGGTAACGAGACAGACAGGTGGAGCAAATAAACCAATAATCAGATAACAAGAGGGAGGGGTCAAACAATGACGAGAGCACATGGCTCAACATAACAAACACCCATGTGCAACACAAGACCGGACAGACATGTGACATAACCCCCTCCCTACGGAGCGGCTACCAGACGCTCCATTAGGCCAAGGCGGGACAGTAAGGAAACATCAGGGCGGGACGGGGGGGACAGACCAGGGAAAAACAGAGTTCATCGGGCGGCCAGGGCGAAACAAAGTTCATCGGGCGGCCAGGGCGGTGAAGACCCCTCGGGCGGCCAGGGCGGTGAAGACCCCTCGGGCGGCCAGGGCGGTGAAGACCCCACGGGCGGCCAGGGCGGTGAAGACCCCTCGGGCGGCCAGGGCGGTGAGGACCCCTCGGGCGGCCAGGGCGGTGAGGACCCCTCGGGCGGCCAGGGCGGTGAGGACCCCTCGGGCGGCCAGGGCGGTGAGGACCCCTCGGGCGGCCAGGGCGGTGAGGACCCCTCAGGCGGCCAGGGCGGTGAGGACCCCTCGGGCGGCCGTGGTGGTGGCTCCGGCTCAGGAACAGCGGAGACCGGCTCAGGAACAGCGGACACCGGCTCAGGAACAGCGGACACCGGCTCAGGAACAGCGGACACCGGCTCAGGAACAGCGGACACCGGCTCAGGAACAGCGGACACCGGCTCAGGAACAGCGGACACCGGCTCAGGAACAGCGGACACCGGCTCAGGAACAGCGGACACCGGCTCAGGAACAGCGGACACCGGCTCAGGAACAGCGGACACCGGCTCAGGAACAGCGGACACCGGCTCAGGAACAGCGGACACCGGCTCAGGAACAGCGGACACCGGCTACCGGCTCAGGAACAGCGGACACCGGCTACCGGCTCAGGAACAGCGGACACCGGCTACCGGCTCAGGAACAGCGGACACCGGCTCAGGAACAGCGGACACCGGCTCAGGAACAGCGGACACCGGCTCAGGTACAGCGGACACCGGCTCAGGTACAGCGGACACCGGCTCAGGTACAGCGGACACCGGCTCAGGTACAGCGGACACCGGCTCAGGTACAGCGGACACCGGCTCAGGTACAGCGGACACCGGCTCAGGTACAGCCACAAGAACTGAAACTGTTACAAGAACAAACACAAAAACAGAAACAAACACTGGCTCTGGCGCTGGAACAGGCACTGGCTCTGCCTCCGGCTCAGGAACGGGCACTGGCTCTGCTTCCGGCTCTGGAACAGGCATTGGCTCTGCCTCCGGCTCTGGAACAGCAGACACTGGCTCCGGCTCTGGAACAGCAGACACTGGCTCCGGCTCTGGAACAGCAGACACTGGCTCCGGCTCTGGAACAGCAGACACTGGCTCCGGCTCTGGAACAGCAGACACTGGCTCCGGCTCTGGAACAGCAGACACTGGCTCCGGCTCTGGAACAGCAGACACTGGCTCCGGCTCTGGAACAGCAGACACTGGCTCCGGCTCTGGAACAGCAGACACTGGCTCCGGCTCTGGAACAGCAGACACTGGCTCCGGCTCTGGAACAGCAGACACTGGCTCCGGCTCTGGAACAGCAGACACTGGCTCCGGCTCTGGAACAGCAGACACTGGCTCCGGCTCTGGAACAGCAGACACTGGCTCCGGCTCGGAAACAGCAGATACAGACATATCCAGGATCCGCGCCAGACGTTCTAAATAGTCCGTAAGTCCCTTGGCGGCCACACAAATGGGCATTTCCGGATCTGTCTCAGACTGGGCAGACTGGACGTGCTCAGTCTCTGACTGGGCAGACTGGACGTGCTCAGTCTCTGACTGGGCAGACAGAGCGTGTACTGTCTCTCGCTGGGCAGACTTGACGTGGACAGTCTCTGACAGGGCAGACGTGACGTGAACAGTCTCTGGCTGGGCAGACGTGACGTGAACAGTCTCTGGCTGGGCAGACGTGACGTGAACAGTCTCTCGCTGGGCAGACGTGACGTGAACAGTCTCTCGCTGGGCAGACGGGACGTGAACAGTCTCTCGCTGGGCAGACGGGACGTGAACAGTCTCTCGCTGGGCAGACGGGACGTGAACAGTCTCTCGCTGGGCAGACGGGACGTGAACAGTCTCTCGCTGGGCAGACGGGACGTGAACAGTCTCTCGCTGGGCAGACGGGACGTGAACAGTCTCTGGCTGGGCAGACGGGACGTGAACAGTCACTCGCTGGGCAGACGTGACGTGAACAGTCTCTGACAGGGCAGACGGATTATGTCTCCTTCTCCTTCTCCCTCCCTTTTGACGGATCTGTGCAGACTCGAAGTTGGTTAAAACCATAGACGGATTCCCAACGCTGGACTGATCCGATGACGAAGATCCCATTCCAGGAGAGACCGGTGAGGAAGACTCAGCTGCCCTCCTCTCCTCATTCCTCTGGGCACACAGGGAGAAATATTTGAGAAGAGAGATCCCATTCTCCCTCTCAGCCAGACAAAGTTCGCTCCGCTGAATCCACATGTGGCTCGTTCGTTCTGTCACGATGCGTGTGGAAATAATTCCGTGGATTCAGGTGCAGAGCGAGAAAGTGTTTAATAAAGACAAAACATAAAAACAAACAAACCAAAAACTACATCCGGCAAGGCAAGGCAAGGCAAGGCAAGGCAAGGCAAGGCAAGGCAAGGCAAGGCAAGGCAAGGCAAGGCAAGGCAAGGCAAGGCAAGGCAAGGCAAGGCAAGGCAAGGCAAGGCAAGGCAAGGCAAGGCAAGGCAAGGCAAGGCACAAACACAACGTAACAAATACAACGAACGAGCACAGGACAGCAAACACAGGAAGACTAAATAGGGAGGCAAACAAGGAGGGTAACGAGACAGACAGGTGAAGCAAATAAACCAATAATCAGATAACAAGAGGGAGGGGTCAAACAATGACGAGAGCACATGGCTCAACATAACAAACACCCATGTGCAACACAAGACCGGACAGACATGTGACATATACTTATACCTTCTCTCAGCAGCACTCATTGCCTTCGAGAATTTCACAGAATTTTTGTTCATGTAATCCTTTAAAAACATCTGATTACACTGTAAAAAGTGCCTTGAAGACTTTCCAGTTGGCAAATTCCCTGCAATAGTGTTTGAACCCCACTATACCTGCCTCAGTTCCTGTGCCAAATACCACATTATCCAACCTCACATGATCTCTCAGCCTTTGAACCAGCACATTCTTTGTCAAAGCTTTTTTATTTTATCACTGAATGGTGATTTATGTTTTTATTTAGCATTAATATTGCCTGTCATTGTGAATTAATAATATGGACATGTAGGCTATTTTTATGTTCAACATTTTAAGGTTACATTTATATGGGAGTGTGTTTAATCAACTTTTGGCACTTAGGTTAGTAGCGTACTTTTCTAATATGGAGACAGTGTCAGTGAAGAGCAGACTTGAGATGAAGACATTTGAGACAATTATGAGAAATGAGAGATATCAATTCAAGGTAAAATCATATTAATTAGTCAATAAAGTAGTAAAAGTGTGAAAAGTGTGTTTCAAAAGTAGTACACTATGTCATTTTGTAAAGTAAAGTAAAGTAAAAAAAAAAAAAAAAAAAGAGTCAATACATCATCAAACCTTCCAAAACATGTTTTTTCTCTTACCCCGATTCACTAGGTAAGCCTATTATAACTATTTATAATTATAAGTATTTATATTTCAGACCAGTCAGGGTTTTTTTTTTTTTCGAGACATGTGTCTTGTCATATCCGTAAATAGAGAAAAGTTGCTGCGGCTGCTTTTGCGCATTAATGATGTGAGAGTGGCAGAGGTTAGGTGAGAAAGGTGAAGCCGCTTGAGATCCTTTGTTTTCATTTAAACCAACTGGTTATATCTCCAGTGAATTAATAAAATATTGCACTTACATGTTAGGATGACATCATTTTTGGACTTCATCTACAGTCACGCAGAACCGAAGCACAACCAAAACAATGTTCTTTGCGGGTTTTTATTAAAAAAAATTAAATAAATGTTTACACCGCTAGAGGGCCAAAATACTATAGTGTACCTTTAAGAGAGTTAATTTTCTTAAAGGGATAGCTCACCCAAAAATGAAAATTCTGTCATCAACCCTCAAGTTGTTCCAAACCTGTGTGAATTTCTATCTTCTGCTGAACACAAAAGAAGATATTTTGAGGAATATGGGAAACCAAACAGTTGATGGACCCCATTGACTTCCATAGTATGAAAAAAAAAGATATGGAAGTCAAGGGGGCCATCAACTGTTACTTACCGACATTCTTCGAAATATCTTCTTTTGTGTTCAGCAGAAGAAAGAAACCCATACAGGTTTGGAAAAAACTGGAGGGTGAGTAAATGATGACATAATTTTTTTTTTTTTTAAACTTGAGTTTATTTTCAACAGGGACAAGTGCCTAAAAATGTCCATATATGAATGGTTACAACTTCACCAGGTTGTTCAAGTTTTAAATAATCTTTCAGTTAAATTACAAACACTATAATAATAGTCATGTATAATAATTAACCATTTATTTGTAATTTAATAGTTTAAGATCAATTATAGCCTGTTCCACTGAGGGCACTTTTATTTAATCCTGGCAGAGGTGAATTTAGTTTTCTTGTCCCAGAGGTGAATTTAGTTCTAATTGTTTGTTATTTATGTAAATGAGCCAAACCGTAGCCATAGAGAGGCTTCGAAGCAACGCCAGCATAAAATCATTAAAATTCATGAGAACACCTTCCTTATAGGCAAGTTACGGAGCAAGGGCAGCACGACCTAATTAATATTCATGAGCCAGGCGGGCGCAGTAGTAGTTGGTTCGTCCCGTCCCGGTGTGAGGCGGTGCTGTCGCTGTCGGCGAGAGCATAGATGCCTTCACACTCACACACTCTTCTGAACATCACACACACCGAAACTACGCCTGGATTCACCTGACTGAAGAGGTAAGAGCATTGCTGTGGGTTTTCTTACAGGCATTGTGCAGAATGTGACAATGTTTACGAGCAGAACCGCGTATTAAAGATAACTTACGCTCGTATCTGAGTTTGAGAAAAAGTTGTTTCAGGAAATTGTTCTCCTTGGTGTGTTATAATTTTTTATTGTTTTGAAAACGTGGTTGCCTGTGGCTTTGTCTGTTTTAAGTCTGTATATACACGTTACAAATAACACTGATTGATTGAAAATGTAATTGTTGTGTTGTAAATAGTAATGTAAGTCCAGGTCACTAGAGGGCGATAGCGAGTCAACAGTTATTATAATTCTAAGCATTTTATTGGATTGATCTCCTGTCCTAATGTACAAATAGTCTGCATTTGTTATGTTTATGTTTAATTTATCCTTAATAAACGTTGTATCCTGCATATAAATCATTTTTATTCTTAATTAACTTTTGAAGTAGGCTATTATTTAGGCTTTTGGAATGTTTGAATTGGAGACCTTTTATAATGGCAATCAGTAATTCTCCATGGCATGACTTGTTATGTATGGTCTGATGTAGTTTTATCAGTTTGTCTAGACATGAACGGGCATTTTTCATCTTGCCAGCATGAGCTGGTTTTAGTTTAGGTGATGCAGAGTTCCAGCATCACACTTTCATTTTCATACATCTGGACAAACCATCCCCATATTTTCATTAATAACAGCATAACCTCTGGCCTTGTCATAATTACCTCTGCATGTGATTTCTTCACTGGCCCTCTTCAGCTCGTACTGAAGTTATTTGTTATAGTGCATTCCATCATGCTTAAGAAACCTTATGAAATGTCTTGAGGAGCACATTTTACTTTCCTTTCTTCTTGTGTTTACGAGAATTTGGAGCCTTTAGTTTTTGTTACGGCCATTCTATAGGGTTTTTTATTGGACAGTTTGTACTGTACATTTTCCCATACATACAAAAAAATATGACTATTCTATATTTACGACCTGTTTTCCCAGAAGAAAAAGACTGTAAATTTCGAATGCATTAATTTCTAAACAGTGTAAATACATTTTTAGGTGATCACCAGTCTGCACGTAGCAAAAAAATATTCAAATGTGAATGCCTAATTGTTGACTGACAGTAAGTATGGATAGAGCTATAAATTAATGTAATTATAGCAGCTCAGATTTTTGTTATCTTGGAAAATTTGAGCATAGTTAGTTTGGGACATTATTGAGATATGCTAATAAAGATATGTGAGATTCCTGCACTCTTTTTTTTTCTCAGGCAGGAGGAGACTTCATTGAAACTCTCCATTTTTCTCTCTCTATTTAATCTCAATGCTGTGTTGGAGAAAGAACCGGTAATAAAGAGATTTGTGATTTTTCTTTTTTGATTTTTGAATGAATAAAATCAGACTGAACAAAACACACTATCACATCATGTAAAACGTATCTAGACAATGCTTTTCATATGCTAATCAGCGGCTGTGGTTTAAAATGAATATGTGTGCATCTCATCAGCACTAGTTATCAGCTGTGATCTGGGTTAGTACAGGGGTTACCGGATAAAGAAATACCCGTTACCATATTCCCCAGTGACCGTGAGTGAGCACCGTTCCAGCTGTTATCAAACATTTAAAGCTGCATTTTAAAAGTCTGTTACATGAATTATTGCTGCGGCAAGAACAAAATCATTAATGTTTCATGCTGGGGTGAATGAACAGAATGACCCAATAGTCAAGCTATTGAATGATGACAACAAACCTAAATTTACCCGCTTTAAATGTCTTAAGAAAATGTTCATGGTTAGTAGTAGATGTATTTATTAAATGTATATGCACAATTAATATTTAAAGTTAAAATTCTAAACAAGTATTTTTTAATTGATGTTAAATCATCACCCCATTTACTTCCTTAATACATGTTCCTGGCCTTATTGTGAACAGTTCATCAGTGCATATATTTTATTCTCGATTTCTGAAGGAAAAAATTCAGTCCAACATTTCTCTTATTGAATATCACTAGGAAATATGTCACATAACGGAAGCAAAATAGGTAAAACTAGGCGAGTAAAATTTTAGATAGATAGATTAGAAATACTAGATGGATGGATTGATGGATTGATGGATTGATTGATTGGATGGATATATATATAGGCCTATATTAGTAGAAATATTAGATAGAATATAAGTTTAAAGGGATTCAATAACACAGGTGGTTGCTGCTACTAAGCAATAGCGCTAGTGACGCTTGCCTTAATGAAACAATAGTTTCACAACTTGTTTCATTAAAGGTACAATATGTAAGAATTTTGTATGAAAATATCCAAAAAACACTTGCACAGTGTTATATATTTCTTTCAATTGTGTACTTACATTATCCTAAATGTCTCCAATCATATGTAAATTCAGATAAATTCACAATTTTAAATGGTGCCCGTCACATGTCACTTGTCGCCTGTCAATGACGTAATATCCGTGTTATCCCTGGTTTCCGCTTGTATAGTAACCATGGCGACAGATGTGGACAACTGCGTAATGTTTAGCGGCACGCTGTTGTTGTTTCGTTCAAACATTGTGGATCATGGCAAGCAGACTTTGGGACAAAAGGAGAACTAAAACGAGGATCAATATCGGCGTGGCGTTTTCGAGATGCCGAGAGCTCCACATCCGCGACAAACTTTGACTTGACAGAGACGCCGCTCTTGCATGTACTTTATTAGACAGGTGAGCAAATGTACATAAAACAATGTTATATAGCTCAACATGCTGAAATGTTAGAATATGATCAGTATGTTATTCTAATGTTGATCTAGCTTACTGCTAGTCTCATATAGCCAACAAACTAACACATTGAATAACATTAGACCTTTCAACACACTCAAGTGCAGTTTAGTATGATAGTGTAGACCAAGTGAAACAGCGCTGCGTTACCTCACAAGTTTAGTTCGTCAAATAAACTGACATGTGTTGTTAGTAATTCAGCACTTGCGGGTACTTCGGTAGAATGAAATGTCCTCATTCCTTTATATCCGCGGGACTCGTGTGTGGCGCTGATATCTGTCTCTCATTAGCAATCGCGCCCTGCTTCATACCACAGTCCTTTTAAAAGACATCAATGTTTTCACTCATCCATAAACATGATTACATCCATCAGCATTAGGGATGTAGCGATTCACTCATCTCACGATGCGATACGATTCACGATACTGGTTTCACGATACGATTTTCTCACGATTTTTTTAACAAATGAGATTTAAGACAAAAGTGTCCCTTTTATTATTTCTCAGACAAAATGCTGCACATTTCTTTTTAATTTAAAATATATTTGTCAATCAATATATATTTTACACAGTAAAAAGGCCTGTTCACACCGGGACGAATTTCGCGCGCGATATTCGCCGACGTTTAACGCCTCGTGACTAAACAAAGGGCGCCAATGTGAGTGTGCACACCGACACGAAAAACGCCACGCGTAAAAGCGTCATTTTTTAAAAAACGCCTCGGGTTCGTTTTTTTTCAGTTTGACGCACCGCGTCAAAAACTGTCCGACCAATGAGATTGGCGCTTTTGCTCACGTGTCTGGAGCTTCTGAAGTTACAGTAAAACACAACTTGGGGGTGCTCAAACACAAAACGGTCTTGCTGAGCTCACATACATAACGCCGAAGAAGATATACGCCAAGTAGCGTCTACACTGCTGGGAAGAAATAAGACGAGGAAGATGCAAGGCAAGATGAATGTAGAGCTGCTGGTCTCGTTGGTGTCGGAACATAAAGAACTATATGACAAACGCGACAGCGACTACAAAAATCTTGATAAAAGAGAACTGTTATGGAGTGGTATTGCAGAGCAAATGGGCGCCATCTAATGTCAGGGAATGAATTTGCATGTTCACTCGGCTCATCGTCAGCGAAAATCGCTTGGGTGTGAACACAAAAAACGCGTTGAAAAACGCTGGCGAATAACGCGCGCCGATATTCATCCCGGTGTGTACGAGCCTAAAGACTGTAAAATTAGTACCAGATTGACAGGGGTTTTACATTGTAATAAAGGCAAGATTTTTGTTATAATTTGTATCATTACACTAGTAAGAGTTTAAAAAAAAACACATTTAGAGGAAGAGATAGTAAAATAAATTCAACACCTGGTTGCCACGGAAACACTGATGCACCTTGTGATCTCCGTGCCTCTCGCAATTGTCGTATTAATGACTTTTACATGAAAACGGAGGTGACTGGTGCTTCTCACGGTGGGGATTATTATTAGTTTATGGAAAGTCAAAATGCCGCCAGACCTCCGATTTGAATGAGTCAACATCAACATCTACGCTTGCCGTCGCCATGTCTACTGTTTGATGGCGCGTGCTGCACACCAGTCTATGGCACACACTGGCGCAGCGCGAGCGGAGCAAACCGAGCGTTTTCAGTTCATTCCTATGGAAGTTGAGCGTGGCTCACACAAGATCAAGTTCCATGAATGTAGTGAAAACACTCGCTAGCTTCACGCCAGTGTGTGCTCGCTGCTATTGTGCCTGTAAAGCGAGGTTCATAACTTCACAGTAGGCTATACAGTAAACGCGCCCTGCTGTTTAAAACGTGTATCGCGATTCGTTTAACATTTCAACCGACTTGAATCGTCACACATTTGACATTTTTATCGATTTTCAACCGGTTGCGAGTGAATCGCTACATCCCTAATCAGCATGACAGCAGGTTTCATGATTCCGCTTATTCACTGCGTCATCAATCTACACCTTTGTTATTGTAAGAGGTTAGCGACCCCTAGCGGCGAAAAAAATTACATATTGTAGCTTTAAGGCAAGTGTCACTAGCAAGAACTTTTAAACTAAAAAGTTTACTCAAAAAGATTTGGTGCAGTCAGAAAGTGGATATGACCCTTGTAGAGTCTGGGCGATTCTGACAGGTCACCATTGAAATGTGATACCAAAGTAGAGACTTCCCTCTGTCAGCTCAATTAGTCTCCTCGACATGACCCTTCAACCCCATTCTGTCAGCCCTCGCT